GGCAAGATCACAATACATGAGACAGAAAAAATGTAGCAAGTTCATGCTTGTTCTTCATCTTAAGGGACTTCACCTATGAGATGCATCTTCTGATGTCGGCTCGCTCGTTACGTTGCTACCCACATAAAGGAAACTAAGAAATTTTCTCGATAGAACCTGCCACGCCTTCGTTCAACAAATAAGTTCTAATTTTGTTTTCGGTCCGCCGTGGCCTCTTGTGCGGACGGTAGTCGATAGTTTTGAGAATACGCATAAATTAATATATGCCCCTTAGGCAATTGCTTAATCAGTTTTTAATTAATTTTGTTACAGTCAGCCTACCTATGATTGTGGTTAAGTATGCTAGACATATGTTCCAATATCCAGTGCTACCAAACAAACACGTTAGCGCCTGCCTATCAAAAATACACTAGGATCTATCTGTCGATCTATATGCCAATGACTTGAGGACCATAAAAAGGCAAAACGTAATCTTCTGAATAGATACGAACGTATAGACATTTACTTTGTCCTGGTAGTGGGTTCGTTCAAAAGTTAGTTGAAACGTGTTCAAATAACTTTCTAACATATTTCTATGTAGGCAGGGGCATTTTATAAATCATTTTAGATATGAATAAGTTAAAAAATACTGTACTGGAACGGCCTTTGTATGACATCTCATCTATGCCGCGAAGCGAAATACGGCCCATGCCTTATTAATTTCTATAAGCTGTAAATTAGCTAGCGATTGTCTTTCTCTAATTTGACTAATTGTTATATGACATGGGATGCAAAACATCAACAACGATCTGCTTTTTGGTATGGGAAGCGTTTAATATTTGTAGTCGTAGTCAATGCAGTCACACGAAACCCAAAACACCGCGTTTTCCATGAGCGCATTGCCTGTATTGCGATACTTCATACAGCGCAATATCAGTATGCAGATCGGTATATCGATATCTATACCCATATATATATGGGTATATACATATATATACTGAGACGCTTTTAAATATTTGACAAAATGTTATCACTTTGTTTTGTACGTATACATGCAATAGTAACTCAGTATGATGTGATCGGAACGTCGGTACAGCTGCACACCCGGTATTCGCTGTATATTTAGAGTGCACTATTCTTTATTATATTATATTATATAATAATATAATATAATATATTATATTCGGGCGTTAACAGTGATGCGAAAGTTGCTAAATTTATGATAAGCTAATTATCTCGTAATCAATAGAAGAGCCTGAATTTACGCGTTTGAGGCATGTCTTATAAACGATGGCCTTCAAATCACTATCTGATACAGGTTTAGTCTCACATTGTCATTCTCAAGAGCTGAACCACTAAGAAGCACGCTTAGACCCGGCGTAGCGCGCTTTTTTCCTGAAAGTGCTTGTAATTACGACCCAACGAGCAGAAATTCTCGTATGTGATTACTTTTGCTAAATATATATATAATATAAATATATATATGCGTCAATAACTAAAATGCGTACAATCTCAACACGTCTGATATCTAACTTCAAATTCAGCGTCTGAATGACAATTTTAGCATTGAAATACTACAGCGCTTTTTATTTTACGTACGTAATCTGGGCGATAAAACACATATCGGTTTATAATCAATAGACACTTAAACGTTTCTAATAAAGCATGCAATGTTTAAATGAACATTTTTTAGCATATGTTTATAGCGAAATTTTAATAGTTATTGATAGAGCATTAATAATATTGAAGGATAAGATCATGTGCTATTTTTTTTTTTGTTTTTCAGTAGTTTTACAGTGCTCGCCATTTTGGCAAACAGATGTGGTTAAGCGTCTTCTCATCGAAGCTGTTTCTTCGAAACTTTATGCATAATACGTCTATGCCAGGGGTCCGGAGGCGCCTAAATTGCCTTATTGGAAGAATCTCTACACAAATAAGATGTCAGTCAAGAATCGAACGTATATGAAAAGCAGGCCAGAGCTTTTATGGTTTAACTTGTTAATCAAAAAGCAGGTTACTTACCCATACTGACTGACTGCAAATGAATATGATAGAGTAATAGCAAGGGTGCAGATAAAGCCACACCCATAAGTCTTATGCATCATATGTATAGAATAAGTGTTATATGTATATATAGAAAAATATAGGGAAGGTAGCTTTTGGAAAATGTAACGATGTAGTAGTAGATTCGAGCGAGTACGTTTACGTGTGTTATCTATACAAGTGGACGGAGACTTTTCTCTCTTTAACCGCATTGAAAGGACGAGCAAAGGTTCTTCAAGGTCATGCTCTCTTACAAATCGAAAAGCTCGGGCTTTACTTGAAGTACTGAGGGCTCACGAAGTCCATTTAGGTACTACTATCACTTTGTGCGCCATACAGATGGTAAGAATATTAAAACAATTTTAAGCCTATTCTCATAAATACCCGCCAGGAAGATCACTGACTTCCAAAAACCTCAAAACTTTTTCCATATTTCCCACGCGGATCTCCCTAAATTGCCAATGAGTTCGTGGGTAGTGCGATGAAAGTGTCACGTCGTTAAATGACGGCTTTAGCACTAAAGCATTTGTTAGACGATGAATTTGAAGAAATCCTTGATTTTGTACTGCTTTACACTTCTTTGTTCGCAGAAGATAGTCGGCACTAATTCTTAGGTCAGTTTGCGCTACGACTTTTGTCCGTATGTCATCGAAATGTGCCTTAAGTATTAGCCTAGGGAAGCCCGCGACTTCACTCTAGGCCTGACGAAAGTAACAGAATAGCCTGTTTGGGCGCTGCGTTTGACTATGGTACGGTATCTATGTTTTAATCAATAAACAAATGGTTTACATTTTGCCGTAATTGATTTCCTACTAATCTGGTACCTTGTTTCTCTTATCGTGCCCCCATCCTAGAGAAGAGTAGTACAATCTGATAGAAGAAAATGAAGCATTTCATATTCCGTTACTGCGTTGATTCAAGACATGCTATTCTAGCTAGCTGTATGAATTCAAGCTGACTAGGGAAAAAAAGTACATTTGGGGGTCGCGCTGTTTTACTGCGGTTCAATGGATCATGCACAGTTGTGTCGTTTGTCATACGAATAGATGATGGAATAATCAGCTTTTAGGATTGCGATATGAAAGATAGACAAATATAGCGGCAGATTACGAACTTTTCAGTGATTCGAAAAATGCTTGTCAACCATTGATACTAATCAATTATTTGCCGAAAATGATACGTTCGATGGAATATGTGTCGTTTGGAAAGCAGCAAGAAATCACTTAGGTACAGTTGTGCGAAAAGCATCTCTTCGTCGGAAACGCTCTCGCTGATTTTCCTAATTTTCGAATAGATTTTAGACGTTTAGTTCATTCTTGTTATCGCCAGATTTGCATCGAATAAAATTGACGATTCTCGGAAAACTGATTCATTGCAAGGGTCATCTCCTCAACTGCGTTATGTAAACCGGGCTTTGTGTTTTAGCTAAGAGTAATAAGCCGCGTTGGAACGTAGTAGATTTTTGCCTGACTGGTTAGTCGCTGTTACCCTCTCCGAAGTGTATCATACGGCCTATAGTAATTACTGTATATGGGGCATACCATTTCTCAGAACCCAAAGGCTTCATTTTAACAGTGAGCATATGTGCTATAATTGAACTTGAACCCCTATGAAACGACCACGTCTATTAGAAAACTGGCAGAAAACAGATTTATGCTTTTAGATGTGTGTTGTTGGACAATGCCTGAAAAGGCCATGGGCGATGCCATATGTGTGCTTTTGCACGCCTCCTGCTAAAAACGAACGTCGCGTGTTTCGCCCGCTTTGCCCTAGATCGCTTTTCTGAAGAACGGTAAAACATCTAGGAAGCCATTTTGGAGACTCATCAACTATTCGAAAAGCATTTCAACTTGAGATTAGCAACGGTCGAGAAGAAGCCGGCCGATACAAATAACCAATGAGCTAATAGTTTTTTAATAATGTGAAATTAAATCAGCCAAACCGAATGTTCGAGTGGGCAGTGGAGCTAGTGAGTAGTAGCTGTGATAAGACACGAAATACCACTAACTCCTCTCTCTCTTTGTTATGTGGACGTGTAGCGGTACTTTTTGTTATGGCTTTTTCGGTATTTTAAGCAGTGTGGTATACGGCTTTCGTTATCTTACGCCAACGTAAAAATAATAATCCCTAGGCTTTCGATACGGTATTACGGTGTTTCTGCCCTCGACGACCTGGTGGTCCGGCTGGTCATTTTCCATACACTCAAACAAAGTACAAAAACGTTTCCACGAAGATACTGTTACGGGTGACTGCTGTATCTTTACCGGCAAGCGTCCATACTTAATGCTATACATCTTCTATATTCTACGCTAGCCTAAATTCTTTTTTAGCTAATCTCATGCCATCTCCATTTGAAGGTGGGAGGCAGATACATGCATCGTAACACGCACGGTGCGTATTGAAACAGGCTCTTCGGTTTCAGCAATAGTATGAGTAGAGATGTTAAACAATACAATTAACCTCATTCGTGATCTCTGGTAGTTTCGTAGTAACAATAGCAGCATCACTGTGGCAATGGTACAATATTAACTAGTGACACGGTCAAACAAGCATGCAATGGCTGCCACTACAGCCGCGTTACTATCGCTATACGCTCAATCCATGATCAAACAATCATGGTAGAAGCGCGTACTGTCGGAAAATGTGTATCATTGGCTATTTTGCCATCTTATCGCTGCTTCTTTTATCGTAACGCAATATCTTTACGTTGAGAGAAAAAAAAAAGAGGACACGGATCGACAAGCCATACCCGACGCGCTCGATACCGTAATATTCAATGCGTAACGATCCGTAGCAATAATTTCGCTGGCTACCGTTGCCACAGACGATTGTTAACTCAACTGGGGGCCTATTCTTTCTTAGTTGGAAGAGGAGGCGAGCGCCAGCCAAAGATACGGGACGGGAAACTGACACGGGACTAAATTCACCCTCGCTACTGCCTCCGCCGTTACCATGTACGTTGCGTGAACGACGTCTCGCATACAAACCAGTGGAGTTCTCCATGCATTACTTGCAGTTTAGAATAAACTTCATCGACTCTATAGGCCACCTTGCCTCTACTCTAGCGCCGTTTACGAAGGCTTGCGGCGGCTGCCGACTGCATTGCTAGTTAGTCCATATCTAAGACGTAGTTAAAGCATTATAGAAAACCAAATATATTAGTGCGTCTACTGATAACAAGTGACCTGTTATTTAACTAGTTGAGTTCGTGGAATTCGGAGGGAACTTGTCCCGTAACTAGCTGCATGATAACGCGCGATCGTCGTTGCCGGTAGCACATGCACGACGGCTTGATTCGACAGCCACAAAGGCCTTGGCGAAACTAGTGCGTGCGGTCAGCCCGCTAAAGTACCGATGACAGTGAAGGAGACTGATATCGTCGAAGATGCTCTCTTGCAGGAAGGCCTGAAAAAATATCGTAAATTATTACGTAGAGTAAGTATATATGCAGTATAGCGGAGGGAGGGGGGGCATCTTAAATGCACTACCTCAAACGGTTTCTGTGAATAAATGAGTTGGACACTTTGGCTATGAAGTTAAACTTACTCAAAACATAATTAGCAGACAAAACTCGACCGGATCATTCGTTTCATTGCCCACCATGCGGATACTCTAAAACACGACACCGTAGCATAGTAAATGATGCAACAGATCATTGATAGATTGGTCAATTGGGTATCGAACACACGAGCTAGTCATGAAGCATGATGCCAAATTCGAATTATTTGTAAGCACAAATAGGCTGAGGTGGGCCGATAGTACGTCGTAAAGGTGCAGCGTTTTCGCGTAAAGCGGCGTTGTACTTTGTGCCTAAACTTACATTCGCCTCTTTTTCGTTCATTTAGTCAATCAGTGATGACCTGATACCGATGCAGTAGGATGTCGCAGTAGTAACTGTAAAATAACTTTTGAATTATCTGTTTTATTACTATGTACTTACTATTGAAATCTTATATGATGATATAACTTCTTGCCGATTTCAAAAGTTCGTTTTCATTGGGCAACAATAGTCAAAATGTCAACTTCAAGTGTTCTGTTTTTGTGGTGGACGTTAATGATACTATCTATCAACTGAAACGTACGGTACACTTGTTCTCGCAGTAATTGGACAAAGCTGTACGATCCGTCTCTTAAACACGACGAGATAAATTTGCGAAGGAAAAGTTGTTCAACGTAGTGAAATTGTCAAGGTGTTTCTAGTATATGTACAAATTACTCAGAGAATAGTGATTTCTATTCTAGAATACGTTTTTCGTACAGCTTCGTCGCAAGGCTGAGTACGATTGACTGGCCAGATCGTTTTCACATTAAATGCCGTTATATGTACTGAACAGTAAAAAGCTTACTATCGAAAAGCGACTGCGTTTTCCTATTAGAAAATGGTGAGGATTTTTCTTGAAAAAAAAAAATGGTAATTTATGAGAACAGCGTCCGATAAGTGAAATAGATGACAGGGGGCTTCTTGTAACTTCCCAACTGTTTTTTTGCCATTCGAGTTTCTGCTGTGTCGCGTTGTAGCTACCTGTTGTAGCAACCGTTGTCGCGGAGTAGCTACCTCGCTTACGAGTTTTAGTTGTTTGACTTGATCGTTTTCTCCGACCGTTGACAATACGCGCGAATTAGGACTTATGACGTTATGTTATTATTTGCAGCAACGGTTCATAGTATTTAATAGTAAAACCTTCGTTGACGCAGTGCCTAAAAGCCCGAGTAATGTGATGTTGCAATAAAAGACGAATATATTTCACGTTTTCTATTGAATAGCACGACATATATATATATATATGTCGCACAGAGTGTTATTTGCCGAGAAGCCTACGTTACGAAAAACGATTCGTGGGGTGGCGTGGCGTGGTGTAGTTTTAATAGGTTTAATTTTCCGTACTTGTAGCATATAAATATGGCACGAAGGAAGTATGGTACTTTATGCTACGAAGACTTTTTACCAATGACCTAGTAAAGAAAAACGGCTGCTCTGCAGCGGAACTACTACAGACGTATAATTGTGACGATAGAGTCTCAGACGAGGCAAGATGACCGCTACGCGAAGATGACCAATATCATCGAAACGATGCGCATATTTTTTCCGCAGGGACTAGTACACACTCAGCACCCGTAAGGCACTCAAATACGACAAATAGTGGCATACTCTTGATTCGGTCAAGAAGACTTCATAAGCCCAGATTAGACAGACAGGCCGGAAGGGACATTGTGGTCACCTTCGATTAGCCATATCTATCGCAAATGACTTGAGTCACGCTGCCCACTATCTAAACGGGCTGGAACGATTTTTGGCAAAATCTATTATCTAACACAAATAACATCAATAAGAATATTCTAGATAGCATAGAAAAATGTGTGTATTGGCGTAACGCTGAATCGTATGAATTGTTCACTTGATGCCGTTCTTAACGCTGACAAACGATCTAATCTCTCGCTCCCGGCGGAATCTACTGGCTTCGAACAGTCGAACCTATTATATCACGTAAGGGTGCTTGCTATTTAATGATCTAGCCATGGTAATCTTCATAGCAGTACAGCAGGCAAAAACTACTGCAAATCTAGCTGCCGCTAGTCGCTGCCTCGAGTGGCTGGCCCTCGTCGCGGCACGAAGTAGACTTAGGGATTCCCAAATTTTTCTTACTGTTACTAACGGGAAATGTCACGGAAACTGTGATGTTTCGCGCAGCAGCTTATTTGCCCTATTGGCACCGACGCGACTATCGTGACTCAGTGTATTATCGTACATACGTTTAATATTCTGTCGCTTTACTTTTTGTCATCGGTCAGACTCTTGCGTACGGACGGTCGTTCACAGTTGCCCTCTATGGGCAAAATCGCTACGCTGCGTTTAAGTGAGATCAAATGTTACAGTGAAAAATTATGGTAACTGCTCACCTGGAAATTTGTTAGAGAAGGCCAAATCAACCTTGCCTCATTCTGACGAACTCCACAAAACGAAACCATTTGCTTATTGAATACGCCGTAAAGACGATAAAATCTCCTTTCCTATAACTGTACTATTACATGTAATCGTGTTAGTTGTATCTGAGTAACACTGTAAATTGTTGTGGGTTTTAAGCCAAATAGATTACTTTAAAAAATTGAAATAAACATGCAACTATGTGGCAAAGATCGTTGAAGCCGTCCCGTTTGCGGTACGTCTGGTTGGTAAGCGTGCGTCGGTTGCAGGCGGCCTCAGAGAACGTGCTAAAACTTTAATTTTAACACTTAGCTTAAATCGCAGTTCCAAACTCGTCGTAAAGGAAAAGTGATATTTATTTGATTAAAATTCACAAAATGAATCGCGTAAAATTACATCGGTACTAACTGGAGCAAGATGAAACAGCTCCTTTCTTCTGCGCGGGAATTCTGCGACTGCTGGCGACAGAGCCTTTGAGGCCGACTGGCTACAAGCAAGCAAGCAAGCAGCAGTTATCAGGTGCGCCAAAATCAGATTTTTGCGCAACGCATAGAAACTTATTATCAAATAGCAGTAAATCCTACAATAAACGTAAACTAATATACTAGCATATACGAGTCAGTAACTGAGCGTCAGTCTCAGTGCTCATATGTGGCCATCTATCGATAAAAAAAAGTCCTAAGAGCTTTTGTTCTTCGGACATAGGTTGACTTGTGATGCGCCTAAAGTAGCCTGAACAGAGACATCACTTTCACCTGATTTTTGTGGGTTGGTCAAGTTCCAGCCTGGAGACGGTTGCGGTTTTTTTCATATTTTTCCCATCGAAAAATAACATGTTTTTCTTTGTAGAAATTCTTTACTCTTCGTAACGTACATCGTTGTGAAAGCTGTGAAACGGATTAACCGAATAGCTTAGTGAGACAAGGGCAATTAGGTACTGGGTGGTCAAGGACGCTTAAACGGCAGATTAAAGCTACTTATTAACGAGCTAAGAAAGTAATAAAAGCCTAATTGTTACTCCTCAATAGGACTTTTTGTTGAGTAACGCCTCAGAGACAAATTGGTGCCACGTTGAGGGTCAGAGCTAACCTTTTTTCTGGCTTATACTGGGCACTTCAGAGATTTTTTAGTTAGCCGGCAGTTAGCCGGACGGGACGATTGGGAACCGCCACAGACAATTTAAGTAGGAAAACGGAATTGCTACGAATTGTAAAGCAGCATAGGTTTGAGTGAACTAAGATAAGGATATAATTAGGACAAAAAAAATAGAACAATGAAATCGGGCTGATAGAGTTGCTGTATCTGGCTTTGCACGAGCTGCAGTCTGCCTATAAGTCCCCACTTAACTGGAACTCTTGCCCACGTGCGGACCCACCATTGGGTTGTTATCAGAAGTTTTATTCTCCGCTTTTGGTTCATGGGAATTTTCTAGGACGGTTAATATAAAAGTCATAGGGTGTGTGCATTCGCTTTCGCAGCCTTGCGATTCTAACACGCGTCCTTTCGGTGGGCATTAGTGTTTTTCTCCTTGGAAGAAAATCGTTCTCTCTCGTCGGGTCTCTAAAAATCAGGTTGCGCGCATAATTTTTCAAGTTCATATCCACTACGCTACCCAATATTGCACTTTTTTTTCGCCCTTCGCCCACTGTAGAAGGACCGTACGTCAAAACGAATTCTTAACCTGTCTATCATTGTGTCACTCCGTTAATAAATAGCCCTGTCCTCCTGTAAAAACGTTGCCTCAAGTTATTAAATGTAATGCAGGTTTTTTTGTTATAATTGGTCAATTAATATACATAGACAAATGCATTTCATATATAGTCAAACAAGTCTTGAAGCAAGAAGAGACAGCTATTTATTTCCCCGGGATATGTGTGTGCATCTTCGATACGTAAATAATGCATTATGATATATGTATCTCTGTCAGGTTGGACTTGCCTTCGCATGAAGTTTCGAACACTATTTGGCTCCAGCCAATGTTCGCTCTCTACATATCCTGACTAATAGATCTTCTGAATAGAAGTAGTTCGGCGTTAACAAATTCAATCTACAGAGGTAACTTAGAGGCTAGAAAAAAGTTAAGTTGACTCAGTGCGCTGTCATGCACGAACAGTCTAACTGAAGTTGTTCCACATTAAACTATGAACGAAATTGTTGCACCTATAGGCAAATAACATCGGCGAGTTCATAATGGCGAGAAACTTCTGATCATTTGTAATGATATTTCAACCGCAAATAACCAGTGCCGCTATACTTTCATTGTAGAATTATAGACACGTTTTAATAATTACGACCCGTACGCATGCGTTGTATATTCGTTTACGTATTTCCTTGTCTGCGTTGAATAGTAAACCTTCAAATAGCGAAGGCCATTCAAAGGAACGTAAGCTTCTCTTTTGTGTGCATGCCTTTTACTCAAATTACTCCTGCTATAGTTAAACATGTAGGAAAATGTTGGATGAAAGGTCGTAGTACAATTGTAACTTTCAGGAGGCTGACTTTCAGCACAAAATAAAATACATCCACGCCCGACTTCTATTCAAACCGCCTTACGTATCCCTAAACTTTCTAGGTATAACCGTTACCTCCGAAATAACAGTGATTGCCCTGTTACCAGGAATCTCGCAATATGTTTATTTTTAGTATTTTTCCAGAAAATACACAAACATGGTGGATATTTTAACAAGCTATTCTCCATAAAGAATGCAACTTGGTAGGGATAGATTGCGATGTATTCAGAGTTACTCACGATTCGGATATCGGTGGATGATCGAAAGGGGTCACCTTTGTCAAATGCCTAACTGCAATGGAGTCTACGTAGCTTAATAATGTTCTGGGGCTTAAGTTAATTTCACGCACACTTTTTATAGATTTGAGAATGGCATCAAAGTACAGTTTCCTCCAAATTCCATATCAAGCGCTTGCAAAGCAGACGCTGCATCAAAAATGCAAAATTATTGGTTTTATAGAGTCTAGGGACGTTATGGCTTCGAAGCTGCCGGTATTTTTTATAAACAAAAAAAAAAGATGTTCACTGTTGTAACCCTATTTTATAACAGGGATCCTGTTGTCGTTTCGACTGTACAACGTTGTGCTTGCCAGCGTTTCAGGGGATCCAGTCGAAGGTCACGAGAGAAGTACTGGTTCTCGGACTGCAGCTAGTTGGTGATGATGTACGAAAATCCCAAAGCTGCCTAGATATATTCAAATCGTTTTATGCCACAGACTTACTTTTATACTTACTCAGTACCATATATTGTGGTCGTCCGCTACAATTAAGGAATCAGCTGGCTACCGGTTATTCATAAAATACCTGTGCATAGGTAGTCGTAATTAGAGTGCACCCATTATTCGAAAATGGTGGTGTCACAATGCTGATTATTTACAAATATGTAAGTAATTAAAACTGGCGCCAAAGTTCCTAATCATTATCGCTTCGCCTATATATTTATTTGCATTTTCCAGCAACGATAGCGTATACAGTAAATACATATCGCCAGGTTAACCTTTGATAGAATGTATGTACTTCCATGCGGCATTGGATGCACTCTTAACCAGCATAACGCAATGATCATTATAATATAGAGCAAGCAGTATTTCGAAAAAAAAAAAAACGAAGAGTACAAATGCGAACGCTTTCGCTTGTTGCATCGGGGAAGATAGACAAGACATGATACTTGTAGACACTGAACGATCAAATCTTAAGCAAAACATTCGTGCTTCAAACCATTGCATGTACGTTCAGTTCATGCAGCTCAGCTGTTAATATTTCAGCTTTGAGATTTATTGTAGCGACTAGATGCTTATGCTCCCTAAAGATAAGGGCGTCGTAAAAAACGTACTTCTTTGCTTTCTCAACATCAACTACTACCTCAGCTAGAGATACAGTCTCTGATACAGCCATACCTACTGTTGAAATCATTTGAGAAGTATTAGCGAGCTGTCTAGATGCCTAGTTGGGTTGTGACCGTTGTGGATCGTAGTTATATTGAATAGACACTTCTAGTACGTGTCAATAATTTTCCTAAGATATCGATTGTTATCTCACTACAATCTCAGACACAAGTAGAATTTTCGGATTTGGGTCATTTATATATTATAGCAAAATATATGTGTATATTCAGGAACCTCCGTTCGGAGTGTCGGCTTGTCTATGCGACTATGTGGTGGCATCTGCTCTATTTAGAAAAAGTCGACAGAAAAAAAGACACACAACTATCTCGTATGCCTGTTTCTACTACCATGTAAAAGTTTTTTGATCTCGATGACCTTTTTGCTGTATGTTGACCCAAGCCGTGATTAAGTACACTGTCTTTATGGAGGTATCTGGAGGCGATAATAGACGACTGCATTTACTGCCTTAAATCCCGCTGTTATATTGCGCCGGCACGTAATGCTATTTCGTCTGAACCGTCATCGATTGGGCTAAAATGGAATTTTATGACAGGAGTTCGCGTGGTCAATACGAGATTTACTTTGGTAACAAAACGACGCAGCTTTAATAGACTTCAACGTTCTTTAGGCTGACACCATCCTTAATGCGATATAGGTTACGCAGCACTACGAATCCTTCGTGTAGCTGTTATTTACGAAAGAACAGATGGACTCGGTCCTCGAGTGAAATCTTTAGCCCGCTAAGATATAGCATAGTTCCAAAACGTACAACTATTAACCTCATAGTTCAAAGGCAGCCCTGAGTAGCCTCTGTGATGCTTAACTTATAATCAGTAAAAAGGTTACCTAGTACACGCCTAGGAATTTTCTTTTATTGCTGACGTATACGTGATAGCGGATCGATTTACGACCTTATTTACATGGGCCAGATATTATTTTATAACTACATTTGCAGACGGTGGTGAAACCGAATACAATGATATTGTTATGGTATGCCTACGTGTATATATTACAAAAGGAACAAGTCAAAATAATCATTTGAGAACTCTTCTCCCGTCTGAGTCGAATTGAGATTAACGACAAAAAATCCCTCAGTCTGAAACGAAGCCCATTTGATGTATTTTTTCGTGATGGGCTGTTTTCCAGGTAGACGGCGAGGGTGTCATTCCTTCACTCGTCTTTATTGCAAACGAGGTATCGTTCTTAATGATCATAATGCTCTTCGATCGCTTGCGAATCAAAGCTTTACTTGGAATCGACAAAACAGTCAGCTATCATTGGCAAATTTTCTAGTTTTGCCCTCCAACGACCTAATCCCGACCTCAAACTAGTTTTTTTTTTTTTTACTTTTTTACAAAAACATCCGGTTACAAAATATGTATTGTGTCACATATCGTTTTATAGAATGAATCGGCATAGCTAATCCGAGTCGAGTGTAGCTGGCGGGTAGTAACTATTCAAAGTGAGATTTCATATGTCCTAAGTGCAATGCGCAACACATTAACACAGCTCGCTTGAGTGTCATACCCATTGAATGGACATAAGGGGATCTTCACTTATGCTCCGTTTCGTCCTTGTTTTAATGATTTGAAGTACATTTGACCGCCAGGACAACTGAGGTTTGTTCAAAGTGTCCTTTGTAGTAAATAAAAAAAAAGTATAAAAGGTCCGAAGTTATTTCGAAAACTTTTCTATTGCAGATTGCGTGCATTTGAACCTAGTCTGGGTTATTTTTTTAAAGCACAGGTTTTCTACCTTAGTCGTGTTAGTCTTAGTCATTCCCTCCACTTTGCCTATCGTGCGACGCAGAACTATTGGAAAATGCAAATGTACCTTTACTCCGACATAGCAGTTGCTTTATTAGACTCTCTCTTAACGAAATTAAAGAATCATAATAATAACAATAATGTAAACATTTTTTTAATACATATCGAGAATGTGGTGTATCATTATGTTTAATTAGCAATAAGTCAACAAGATGAGCATTATAGCGTTCCTATACAAGTAACATTGAAAACTCGGTAGGCTTCATACGGCTACTTCAAATTCAAAAATATTGTATAATAAAATGTGTTTCCTATGGCAAGAATAAAGTTTCAGAAAGATACGGTATGATTTTATACAAAGACATTTACTCTTTGATGGCTTAAAATGTCTCTAGAGTCGGCGGAACAAAAGTCAACCACCACAAGGCACCAACATAATTGCTCTCGTTTCCTTGGATAGCAACCTGTTCGCTATGCGAACTTTACGATTGAGTCCTCAGACGCGTCGCCAACACCCTGGAGCGGCCGAACGGTCTGAGGTCCAACAGGTGTGAGGTTTTGTTAAGGTACCATGTAGCTTTTCCTTGTTGGCCTAAAGCCTTCTAAGACCACGAAAATGAGACATCGCTGGTGAAGAACGCTACAACAGTGACAAACCAAGTCAGTACTTCTTCAACGGACGTACGGCGCTAACTGTCTTCTCGCGAATCATAGAGGCCGATTAATATGGGAAAGATGAAAATTTACAAGGAACAGCCACCAGGAAGAGAAGCTTCGTGTACCCATTCCTAGAAATTGAAACAGAGAGTTAAGTCCTTGAACGTATAACTGCTTAATATCGAATTTCAATAAGGTCTTTATAAATAATTGCGCTGTTCTTTTATAAGTTACACGAAAATATTTGCTCAATCAAGTTCTTTTTTGAGATGACTCTATGGAACATGAAGATCTAATGTCAAGAATACGTCCGTATGCATGGTTATTAAAATGCTGATATGCACTATGGTCATGCATATCGGCATTTTAATAGCGTTATGTCGTTGACACGACGAAAACTAACAAAAACATAACGTTTATCCCCTATTGAAATACAAATGAACTCATAACGGTTCCGTCCAGGATTTAAAATAGGTTTATAACGGGATGGACTTTATCGATAGCACTTTTTGTATAAAAATGGCCTCTTATCTAGAAAAAAAAACGGTACAGAGAACCCAGTCCGTGTTAAGTAAGCGAATTCAGTCATCTACCATAAGAAAATAACGGATGCGTTTACCATATTGCGTTACATCACGACAACTATTTGTACCTAAACATACATACCTTCTCTTTTCTACCAGATCAACGACGAAATATGGGAACATCCCGAAATCCGCTTTGTCGAACACCGTGCACACGACCTTCTGACCAAGGTATTAGAAGAGCATCAGTTCAAGGTGACACGCAACTACATCCTAGAAACGGGCTTTCGTGCTGAGTTTAGTCCCGAAAGCGGGAAATATGGTAAGACGAGTAGCAACAGTTTCAAATGCATTTAAAGAACAGATCGACCTAATCCAACATGACACGTCATGGTGGAACTTTTTATAGCTTGCACATTTACGTACTCCTCCAACCTAGGCGCGTATCTGCAACGTTTCATGCTCAGCAGGTATACAATGCAGATATCGTACGCACAGAGTAAGCGAATGTAATAATTTAGATTTTTATTTATTTTACATACGAGGCGCGTAATATGGCTTACAGTGGACAATTTAGAATCAGTACATTAATGGCCTCGAACAACCTTTTGGAAGCCTCTCATTTCCTCCAAAATCACAAGTCTGCTAATCCCAACTTCGTCCAAACACGATATATATATGACACATGAGGCCAATATCAAACAAACTACTATAAAAAGAACAAAGGTTTTTTACTCTTACGCCGAATACTATACAGTACTGGTAGCTACTTTTAACGAGCTTTGACTAAAAAGTTTTCAAGCTAAAAAGACGTGTGCCTATTAGGCATATTTAAGGCGCCTGGCTGGCAGTCTCTTGAATCGGGGTTTCTAATACAATCATCTGCTCCAAACCGTTCCTCTGTGTAACAGCTCGACTAAATCAAGTAATCCGTTTATGCATTTAAAATATGTTTTAGTTGAAATTACATCTTATTTTAAATCTTATCTGAAATTACGCAAAGATGGTCTACAGCTGAGCAAAAACCGTTAGGTTCGTCGCCGTTTTCGACAAGCGTTCAGTATCATTTTGTTGTAAAAAATTTTTTAAGCAGCAGCTTATCTTATCTATTCTGTGATTACAAGTGACTGTTATCTTGAAGAATACCAGCCCGCTATGCGGGTCAAGTAAAATACGAGCTACAAGACACTATGGTAGGCAGCACTTAATTTTTGAATTAAACTTGATGCACTCAGGATTTAATGTTTTAAACGCTACTCTATGATTTATCACACGTGTATCAGACGTAACATATAACGCGTTATGCGTATATTGTATTGAAGCAGAAATACGCTCCAAATGTCCGTATACAAAAACCAGGTAATGATAAACAGCTTGGGATTTACCTGTGCCCAACACACCCAAAAGGGCTTACGCGATGAAAATCAAAGTCTTTGACAATTTCTATAAGGAACTGTAGATTTTCAAAAAGAAATTCGAAAGGCTAGGTTTACCGTCATAATTTTTCCATACAATATAAAGCTCTTGTAACCATCAAAACGCGTTATTGATTGGGATTCTGGGTCTCTTTTTCTGCCTTATATTGATCGAATCTGTTTAACAGCTGTATATTCTCGTAACTGCAGGTTAGGTAGACTCGAATCAGAGAAGGGGGTCAGTTTAGGTTAGCCTTATGGCAGGCGTAGCCTGTCGTTGCGTTTCTACCGTTAGAACTTTCTTAGCTTTAGACAGGTCTCAAATAATTTTATTTAAGTATTACATTGTATATAATTGACTGTTGTTCACTATAAATAATATGTGCCTATTGTAAGTCGATATGCATTAAGCTGAAGCGGATCTAAAAATGTCCGATTGTAAGAATGTAAAATGTCATGAAACTTTTATGATAACAAGTTAAACTGAGTAAAAGTTCTAAAGTTATCAGACATATACGAGAGTCGTCATTATCACGTCCATCTTACAAATGCTTCATGTAAACAAGGAGAGGGCATTATTTCCTTGCATAAAAACACTAAGATTAGTCTATATTAATTAGCCATTAATTATTTTCAAGGAGAACGTTAAATGTACGCTATGTACGAAACGCTTGATGATGTATTCCATATTATCCCTAACTGACCTGATTCTGAGACAGTTAACATCCCTCAGCCAGTGTTATCTTTTCTTTTATAAGTTAGTGACTTAGGCTGTTTTATGCCCTAATCGCCAACTGAATTTTTAAATTCTTAGGCGACGAACAGTGTAGTAATTCACGACCGCAAAGAACAATAATGTAAGTTAAAAAAATGATATTTTAGATTTCAGAGACACGAAAGTCAATAAGCCCCGCCTTTACCGTAGGTCACCCAATACCCGATATCAGTATAGTCGAATATATGCACGAATAGATATACGTTTGTCGCTAAGGCAGGGGCATTCATTACTAAGCTCTGATACGTTGAAATAATGGCCCGACAAACAAAGATGGCGACATACCGCAGCTTTGTTTGTCTGGCCAGACAGTCAGAGACAAGCCTCCCAAGGTCAATCTTTAGCCAACTACCTCTTGTAATTGTTTATCTGCATTTACGAACAGTCGTAAGCCGTAATTTTAGCATGTCGCTGTTAAGTGATATTATAAAAGACTGCGCGAGTGCGTCCAAGAGCCCCTACGTAAAATGTAGCGGGTATTCACTGCGATCCCGTAAAGCGGACGTTGCTAAGCTTCGCGTTAGCTAACGAAATATCAGAGTAAATCCAGGACGGCTTGTGTTAGATTTGCGTGAAACCAATAGCCTGGGTACATTCGTTTTAGTGGCAATATAGTTAATATGGAAATTCACATAAATGATCCCTTTGATTGCAATTGAATAGGTATCAGAAATAGGGTACTGCCTGCGTTTGCCAATAAGTCACAGCAAACACGGATCAATCGATCGTAACGAGTTAAGATGCTATTTGCTTCCAGAGTATTGTTTTGAAAAGGCTAGTAATACGGTTAGTAAACACGAAAATGGCTCCATTTCGAGGTATAATTACAATCATTTCAGTTGCCTACTGAAAAGTTCGGAAGAACTACTTGGGAAGCAATCGATAACGCCCGATTAGTTCGATAGATGGTTAGTAGAGTATAAACACATTTTCAGCTGCAAATGTCACATACGTATCCGTTTAACCTGCACATAATATTTACTTGAATATTTTACAGCGTCTCTGGGCCCGAACGTGTGCTTCATTTGTGAGTACGACGCCTTACCAATAGTGGGTCACGCGTGTGGGCACAACCTCATTGCTGAAAGTGGCATTGCAATGGCCCTTCTCACTCAGCATGTAATGACGGTACGGTACTAAGTTTGCTAGGGAATTATATTCACAATTAAATTCATTTAGAAACAGTTATTTGCGCCTTCATCGGATTCAATGCCGTGCCACATGTCACATACTGCCACTGTTATAATCACCTTCACTTCGTCTCGACTTCGATAAACGCGTAGTCGCGTTTATCGAAGTCGAGACGAAGGCGAGACGCCGATTTACTGTCGCACACTATGACAGCGTCTATACTATACTATAGTTACATATCTATAAGTTCAGAATAAGCCAGACGTAGCAAGTACGTTTGGTATGATTACTCCTGAAAAGGTTGATTTTCTTACTATTGGTCACCATATATGGCCTGCGTTGGCTTACTACAAGTTGGTCCTTGACACTGCGCACAGCAAACTCATGGCCTTGCGATGACAGGTACGCGCTGGGATGAATAGGGTTTTTGGTGCTGAGACTTCCGTATGATCGTTCCGATCGATAATCGCCATATTCTAATAAGCAGATGTATGTTTTCCGGTATTTTATAACCGACCGTTTTTTACTACAGAAGAACATGGCATATTGATACTGAATAAATCTTCCTTACAATGTACTATTCGACAATGCGTCAGGTGGAATGGTCAGAATAGCTACATTAATCATAGACTATCGTTCCGGTTTCATAACCTGCATGATAGGGCCTGGTCAATCGCTTAGGACGAGCGCAAGCTCGTAGTGAGCATTTAGCGCACCGTCCTTACTGTCAGTGGTATCTCTATGGCGCTATGGTATCCTGGACTTACTTTCGTGTTAATAGATTGCCATTTTTATGAGCTATGTTGCAGTCGACGTATGAATGTCTTTACTGGGATCAGCGGTTAGCTGTCGTATGCCGTCAGCGAGGGTTCCATGTAAACAATTTTTTACTGTCTCTACGGGGTTGTTGTGATACGTTTTCACTAATAATCCATAATATGAACTTTTTTAACCTCAACGTTCAGTGAATAGTATAGTTTTAGTATAGTTAATTTATATCCGAACATACCGCGATTACGGCTTGAAAATAGATGATTCAGACCCCGGCCAAAAAAGTTGGATTGGAGACAATGACAAGCAACATTATAAAACGGGTGACTTTTTTTTCCAGTAGAAAATATGAAATCTACGATATTCATGGGAGCTTGTCAATGGCAAAAAAAAAACGATGCTCATTTATTGTCGTTGTAGGCGAACTGGGCCTTTCGTACAGAAAACAATATAAATGTCATTGATATTAGCAAGGGAATGCTCCGATACAAATCGATAATTATACTCATTATTAGTATCGAAAGCTACGATTTTTCCCGTGAAATCTATCACAAACATGAAACACTGTGTGTCACCATTAATGAAATAGGGTTGGTAACTAGCGGTTTGTGTGTAAAGCATTAGATGGTTCTTATTATAGCATATATTTACAAATAATTATCAGTTTAAAAGATCATTAAGTTCGCGAGTCCTGGCGTAGGTGACTTGAGCACTACATAGGGTACCTATATTATTAGAGCTATATAGTAGAAATGATACATCTAGCTTAAATATATTGAGCTCTATTGATGTGCCTAATTAGAGATAACAGCCTTCAAATAACGTATGGATCATAACGACTTACGTACATATGTATATATATATATATATAGATATAGTGCCATCCTCAAAGTTTGCTTTATATGAGTGTGAGTAAGTTTAGGTATGGCAGATCGATAGGCTTCTGCTATAAATGATCGTCAACTTCCAAAAATCCCTTAAAAAGTCCCAAACGAATATATATCGAATAGATCTCAAACCTCAATCCTACGTATTAAATAAACGTAAAATTTGTATTAGTGCAGTCTTTGTTTGTAATCAATCAGTATAACTGACCACCTTACAAGGCTCGCTTAATATGCGAAACCCTTATCAGGCGTAGAAAGAGACATAGTATTATAATTTTATTAACAAATAATGTTTCGCTTGACTGCATCAAGTATCATCGATCGTTCTAGAAACTATCTAGGCGAACTAGGGATACCTGTACAAGCATTGGGTTTGGCAGGTATGGCTAATAGAATATACTGTATGTACATCTATGTAGATTTGTCCTGGGAATGAAATATATTTCCATGTTGCCCTGCTCCAACATTTGCAATGTACATATTAACCTTAACAGCGCGGCTGCATACACGGAAAGGCAAAACGGGATTTTTTAAGTAGCAACTGACGTTGCCACAACAGATATATTAAAGGAAAAATTATTCAAAGAAACACAGAGCTTCGCAATGATCCCGAGAACTCACTGAAGTTGTTGATGGACAGAATCAGGGATGGACCAGTTTTTCACGCCTTTTGCTGTTATTGTGCTGAGGTTTGGTATTCATTTCAATATTAATCAAGATACAGTATGTTGTTCTATAGCAGCAGCAGCAGCTATATTTCATCGCAAGATTGTTAGTCAATGTGTGTACCCACGATTTTAATCTATATTTTCAAGAAGCGTAATTAGTTATGCGCTATGTTATTAGTTAGAAGGTTTTTATTTAGTAGAATACGTAATTGTTGAAGGCCTGGAGTGTTTTTGGCTCAGGATATCACCAGGAAGGATTTCGTTCCGAAACCGCTCCCATATGAACGGTAATGTAACTCACTGGACCATTCAGCTTATAGAATATAATTAGTTGAATAATAGGATCTGTCGTTGAGGTTATGAAAGTGTTCAACTTCAAGTAGAAAGATGCTTGGTCTGCTTGTGCTTTTAGGCAACCTTTTCTAACCAGTTAGGCTGTTTATTAACAGAGTAAGTCTTGATGGCTATCATGACGCTTCCTTTTTTTTCCTGTCAGTTATCAGCCGTATAGATCAATTTGCTCCTATTTCGCTTGCCGGGTTCAGACAGCTTATGATATACTGAACTGCAATAACTCGCGTGCCTTGGATGGTTCATATAGGAAATGAGTCAAACAATTGTTTGTAAGCCTGGACGGCAATAAGGCACACCTAATAACCCATGCACAGTTGCTGTAATGTTTATGGCTAAAGAGATCATCAATTCCTCTAGGAGTGCCCATCTCGATACCCGGGGAAAATCACTGTCATCGGCTCGCCTGGCGAAGAGGGTGGCGGTGGAAAGATTATTATGATTGAAGCGTTTAATGACGTCGACGTGGCAATGATGCTTCATCCATCGAACAAAGGAATCCTGCACACTGAAAGTATCTGCTCGTCAAGGGTTAGTTTCAGTATTATGTACCTCAGTTGAGTATCCTAAACGAAGTCTTTGTGAATCCCACGGCACCATCAGCATCCATATAGGTATCATGGCCGATTAGTTTTGCTTTACAGGAACACTGTATTAATACTGATTCTTCTTCTTCTACATGGCAAAGATTTAGAACGTAAACTTTGCGGAGCGTCAACGTCAACGAAAATTTACAAGTAAAAATTGTTGTGCAGAAACATGTACGCACCGATATTCTCTCAACTGGCGTCGTTTCTTATCAAATTTATTAGAAATATGAAAATGTATGTTGTTGGACAGTTAAAAATGTGTAATTCATTTTATTTATAATGCTTTTTCTGAGCATAGTACCTTTCGAAACAAATGGCAAATCATAAAAGTAGTCATGCTATAACCTAAGTTATCGGTTGATACCATAGTAAGTTCTCAAGACAGCTGTCATTAACCGTAACGCACTTTTGACATTAACTAAAAAAGAGCAGAGAACATGTTTTTTAGTGTGCCTAGGTTACTTGAGACAACTTGAGACAAATAATACACAAAAGGACAGACTATTCCTTTCTTCACATACGACGGCGTAACGATGACTTTTTCCATAGTCGTGTTGGGGAAAATGCTTTACCTATTAACTTCTACCGTCCCCTCAAAAATCGATTTACACCTTTGAAGCACCCCGTACGTTTACCCCCTGTTATAGATATTTGCGGCATACTCCGGTAAGCGGCCTGAAGAAACAGCGCATTACTTTCCTTCGCTTGATCGAATGTTGCCTGGGTCCGAGAGTGATGCTGCTGTTGCCGCATACAACGCGATACAGGTCCTCAGAGCTGAGATGCCACATCAATGGCGAATCGGAGGTGTGTATCAACCGGATTTCTTATGTAGACGTAGCTTGGTGTTGTAGACGGGTTTTCAGCTCCACTAAGACAAACGCTTGAAAGCACGACATAAACGTAGTTACATAGCCTGGCCAAATAATCGTGAAACTAATTGAAAATACTACAGTTTGTGACATCGTTCCGTAAAATGGGTACAATGTTCGAATCAAACTGTAATGAAATTTGCTTTCTTAATACTTCTTGTGTACATGTAAATAACAGAGCTGCCTCCGAACTGACTGAATTAGAGCTCGTTCCATTTATAAGCCTTCAATAGTTCGGAGCAGCCAGTTTCTGATCTACGTCAAGTAAAAGGGCCCAAATCTAGTAGGTTCCCTTAGTCGCGGATAACATAATTCTTTATTTGTGCAGATCTACATTGGTAAAGGATAACAATCAATTCAATGATGGGTTAAATATATTGATTTGAGCACTGCCGTACGAAAGTCCTTCAAACGAAGTCTTATCCGTAGACTTTTTCGCTACTCAGAAAAACGGACACGTGCTAGGCCAACGTCCACTCACTTGACAGTTTACGCCATGCCGCTTGTAGACGTATATGTGCTTTGTGGGAATTTTCGAAACAGATTTATTATGCAGTATTTGCGATTCTAATATATTCGTCTCCAGGACCCCAGGCAGATTTCTCTAGGACTCGTTGTATTTTCAGTAGTGCAACTTGATTCGGAGAACGACTGTGCACGAACATTGACCGTTGTCGCAGAAGAGTGTTTTGTGTAAAATTCGCGACCCTTATTAACTAATTACATCATCTAAATGTGGTATCTTTGTAAAATGTTTGCTATTTATTTACATGATTTAACAGCTGTGATAAAAAAGATCGATCACTCGCTGGGGTTGGAGATTACATACCGGACGTTGCACGGGGCTGACATGTCTGTACTTTGCGCACGCATTGTTAAATGTCTTGAGGCTGGAGGAGCTGCCGCTGGATGTCAGCTTGACTGGCGCTTTACTGATCCATACCTCAATATGTGGCCCAACATCTGCCTCGGATCCACAGTTTACAGTTATCTCAAGCGACCAGGTAAGCACTACATGTTCTACTTAGGCTCAGTTATTAAACCTAAGTTGCTTGGATTATCTGTTTTGGGCATTGTTAGACAACATTTTCTTTTGCAATCTAATCAGCATAAACAGATATCGAATTCATTAAAGACAATCCGATATGCCTTCCTTGAAAAATGGCTTTTAAAATCCAAAAAAACTTATATATACTTTTAATGACGTTGATCTTTTAGAAATTCTTTTTGAATACGGACTAAACAAAGAGTTCAACGCGCTTTTGTCAACCGATATGGGCAACGTTTCGCATTTGGTGCCATCTATACATCCGATGTACTACATCGATACGCCTACGTCCCTACATCACCCAGATTTTGCCAAACAGGTAAACGAACGTTGTCCGTAAAGGCAACATACATTCACGTTAATTTTGATGTACTGACATCTACTTGAGAAGCTTTATATATTGTGATGCGGACATTGGGTCCCAGCAGCTTACTTAATAAACGTCTAATAGTAGAAGGCTGTGGAAGAGCAAAAATGATTTATCAATGCCATTTTTAATATAACATATGTGCGCCCACGACCTCTATACGCACCTGAAGCCCACCCCTATTTGGGATCCATATGTGTACTCAATCTTGGAAGGGAACCCAATATAACGCATTAGCAGAGTAGTATCTGCATAAACGCTACTACTTAAATTAACTTAAATTTCTCCTTATTTCCCTAAAATTGGCTTATGCAGACATTTTCTTCCATTCTCCAGCCCAAAGCAGAAGCTAATGAATGGTTCGTTCCATTGTGTGCATATGTAAAATCAAGGTTCGTGATCGACAGTATTCCCTATATAAACCGTTATTTTTTACACAAAGCCCTCTTCGGACCGTTGAGCTTATTGCATTGTTGCTTTTTGGATCGTTTAGAATAAAGGATGTGGAGGGAAAAATACGCCATATTGACTTTAGTCCGAATACCTAAAGTCTTCCTGAAACAATTGAGACTTCGTTGAACAAATCAGGAAAAGGAATTAATTTAATTTACTCTTCCAATCGGGAAAGGTGCTATCATCCGAGAAAGGTGCTTTACTCGCTTACGATATCCCATGCATAACGAACCTCCAAACTTATCGCAATCTATGACTCTTTTCCCTGTGATTATTACTGTGTTCTTTAAGTTCGAATTCAGAGCTTCGCTACATTACGATAAACAATTAAGAGAAGCTTGTATTTATAGGAACCGTCCAGCCAATGCCGAACGAATCGTAAAATTCGAAATTAGTTAAAAGCCATTACCTAAAACGGGTACACCTTCAAATACACGCATATTGCAGGCGAACACACCGGAAGCGGAGAATCGTATGCTTGACTGCGCCCAGGCAGCTGCACACACAGCCCTTAAGTTGCTCAGAGACCCCAACGAGTTACTCAGGGTAAAAAAAGAGTTCCTAGAAAAGAAGAATTCTGCACAAAAGGACATATAGCCGTATTAATAAAAAAAAAAATCGCAATGTTATCTTTTGTCTTCCCCTATCCAAATGTGTTAAATAATTCTAGTTAATGTTGTGTTAGTTAATAGCATCAGAAGCGAGTGGAAAAGATCTGCTGGATGGAGCTATTGCAGCAGTATACAATATATGCAGCAAGAATCTTCGTCGTAACATGCAAAATATTGTTACGGTGTCCAGATGTCATCGTATTGCTGGCCACGCTGAAGCAAAATTTTCGCACTACGTTTATTCTACCCTGTTATTGAACCTATAGCGATGCATGTACCGTTAGGACTTCAACTGCGAGTCCCATTTTCTTGTTAAGCTAGCATCATTTCTAAGAAGCCACCATTATTATGGATATCGAGTGAAGAACGTCTAAAGTATACTACGAGAGATAACACTGTACTTAGCCAACTAACGCTTATGTAAATTCTATAATATGCAGTACAAATCCGATCTCAGAACTAATCAAATCAAAAGGAAAAATTTCATCCTGCGATTTACACAGGTTCCAGTAAGGCACAACGGACAGCTAAGGAGAAAAAAAAGGCCTCAGAAGTACACACTTCGTCGCATCAGAGCACGAGGAATTGCACAGGAATCGACCCACCGATACAATAAATAGCTTTCTAGATATCGAGCTTAATCTACGGTTTGCTTGAGAAGAGTCATCTATAAGGCACACTGTTTACTTCTACACAGCATAGAGCACAGGTGTTTGGTCGAATTATGTGCTCCAAACGACTAAGATCTTACCGATCTGAAATTTAAGTGATAGCTATTACGTCAGACTGTGTCGATCGGCCTACACTAGAAATATACGGAAACCAGAGGAGCCCGTGTAGTTTACTACAATTAAACCACCGGTGGTAATAGACCCGAGAGTCCGGATAAAGACCATGCACACAATTTATGAATATGAAAAGGAGAATTTTTTTACTGCAGCGGTACGCATTTAGATGACAATTCTACGACGCATCGTGTGATGTCGTATATTAAATTGTGCGTCACCTGTTGTTTTTTTCACACAGCTGTTGCATAGTTTTAATTCACCGAACAGAATTTTTATTTAAATGTCATTTTTTTTTAAAATTTAAAATCTATTGAATTCAAATACGGTGTTTAATAGTGTTTTTAAAACGTGGTAGGGCCTGTTCTAACGAAACGGTTCTTGCACCGTCATCTGGGTATTCGAGGTAGCAATGTAACTCGTACACGAGAACTGTGAAAATGTATTTTTCAAGCTATGAAAAGTTAAAGATAGATATTTTTAACTGCTCGCACGTATGTGAATGCATACGTAAATAATTCAACGGATAATGTGCAAACCGTGAGCCAAAAAAATGTCGGTGTGCTTATCTCATTGTGCCTCAGAGACGCGAAGATCTATCGTCCTTACCAACTAGCGCAGTGACCAATGGTGCCGGTTAGGACAATAGTCTTCCTCTTCGTCGAAACTCATTTGACTTGGGCTAATCTTATCCAATCCCCGCGTGCTGTAATGCCAACTCGTTTAGCATAATGTTCCCTATAGATAAACGCATAGTTTTAATTGTGGAAGAACCTTTCGTTCATCGACAAATTGCTGGAAATCCCCAGTCGATTCCGATGACACCCAAATACCTCTTTCTTTATAGAAATGGCCTTGCCAAGCCACATTATGACACATTAGAACTTTTTGAAAAAAGCGCGCTTTTCATACAAACAGTGGTCACCTACATAATTTTTCTCAATTTTTAATATGACGAACGATACGTCCTTCAACCATGATAAATAAAAGACCAGCTGATGATTACGCATGAAACTAAAGCTTCAGTCACACTAAAAAACAGCAATAAAATTATCATTCCATTTAATAAAGGTTCTTGGAACATTTCGACACGGGTAACTGTAGAGCGAACTAAAGGACTCGATATAGATTTAGGCAGTTGCAAACAAGGTTCTATAATTTCGAACATGAGTTCAGCTACTATTTAGATTTATTCTTTAGACGATCCTGCTGTTCAGACCAGCTAATAACGTTTTGCAAATTGCAAAAAAACACCCGCCGGAAAACAAGCTATTCTTGTTTTATCGTCTCATTTGTTTCTTTCACTAACTTAGTTCCGAATTTGAATATAATAAAATAATAACAGCAGTGATTCAGAGTGACACGTTAGTCTTAGCTACAACTTATCGTTACGCACGTACAGATGCTGAGCAAATGATGATAAGCAGATAGATGAGATGATAGAAAAGATAAAGGTGTAAAGTATTTTGGAGGTAGGAAAGATTAGACGGGCTGCCAGACGACAGCTTCTGCCTGCTGGAGCCACTTTGAACAGTCATCTAACCAGGGAACTGGTGATGGCTATATGAAGGCAGCTTACCGCAGCCAGCACAACTCATCCCGTTAGTCAAAGATGACGAGTACCGATTCTAATCCATTTATCTTTCTCAGTTCAGTGTGAATACTGCATGTTTGTTTTAGGTTTATTGACGTTCTTTGTTCCTTACTAGTTCCTGCTAGTAAGTAACGATGCAAAATATCTGCTCGACCTTTTCAACCCACCTTCGATCCTGCGCTCATCACAATACAATCATTCACGTGTGGTCTAGGCACTTTCACAGTCGCTTCTACGACAAGTTAATTCATTGTCCTACACGAAGTATTTGACCCATTTGCTATCGCTTTGGATATATCGGAAAGGTGCCCCGTCGCTGATACCATACCCACGCGACACTCGATACTTAGGTCACTTGCCTACAGACTATATAAATGATAGCCGTAAAAAAACACTTGGATCTCTCTGTTCCTGTAAACAGCTACATGAATAATTGACCAAATCGTATTCCGTCAATGTTAGGCCCATTCGATATTTTATGCACCCTTTCGACATATGTTCGCTTAGTCCGAAGTGCTTCGCTTAGAGCGAAGCTCGTTAGCTTTCTGAATTAGTATTTTTCTTTTTAGGCCACTTCCAGCCCAGCTTCTTATTTAGCATTATTGCATGCTGATGAAGTAACTGTTCAAACCTATTGAGCTCTTCAGAGATGACTACTTGAGCTTCTTCACGTCGGCTTTAGATACCGCCGCCAGACCCTACAGAAACCGGCTGCCGTTCTGCTGACTGACGTTTGGCTCATTTACAACTAAAAAATCAAGACCCTTCTGCGGCCATGAGCAGATCATGCTTTTGTTTGGAAACCACTATAATCAATAACTCGCTGGGGGTTTAAGTCTCTTTGAATCCCGTTTTTCTCGTAGGAAAAGGAACTGTTGTCCGGTTTCTACTATCTTTTACGGTCGTGGCAGTTTTGACGCCATCGCAGTCCGTTGCCTTCTCTGTAGTGCTGGGCCGAACCATCCAAAAGTCGGTATGGTTTACCTGAAGACACTGCACATGGAGTCAAGTTCCGTGAAAATAACCGTGAAATATTAAATGTCTCTTCAAGAAACATGACATCAATACCCTCAATATTTAATGCGATACCTGCTAAAAAGTTTGTCTGAAACTTTCACTATCTAAACATGTTTGCCACTTTTCATTTTTTCTTTTACTCTACATAAATCGGTCTTTATCTTTTCCTTCTAGTTAAGATATGTTGCAACGCGACTACCTTTGGTTGAAGTATTGGACCCCAGCTGCCTTACACAATGCTAAAATTTAATGTTATATAATTTAGAAATACTCAATAACTTTTCCATTGAACTGAAATAGAAAATGGGGCATATAATCAGTGGTGATCACTATGTTATCAAACTATCACTATACTTGTAAGATAAAATCATATTCAGTGTTTAGAGGATATTTTTTTTTATTTACCTAATAAAAAGCAATACATTTGTTTTCTGCTTTCAGCTCAGTCTCACATGATGCTATTTATCGGCCCGGCGGGCTCAGTTGTCAGCTTAATAATCGAAACTTGGCTCTTTCGGTTCATCTTCGGTGTCACTCTTGTACTGTGTATGATATATCTTCTTTTATAAAGATCTCTTTGCTGTTCGTCGCTAAGCTAACAACTAGGGTAATGATTTGGTGGTAATGAAGGGATTTCTTTAAGCACACGTAGCGGTCGAGCAAGGACCGGAACGTTTCGAGCCTTTCATTGCGCCTGTTGCGGGATCTACACACCACCAACTGCCTCCGCTGCATTGGGTCTTCCTGAAATTAGCCAGAATAACAGTTGATAAAATTCATCATGGTCAGAACGATCATGTCAAGCATTATTCTCCGATCAATGTCACAACGTATGGCTTGGAAAAAAAATTCGGCGCAGCTCCTTTCAATCACTGATGGAAGTGGGTATATTCGTGTAGTTAACACACAGAGGCTATCACCTATTGATATACGTCGGATACGACATCAGCAGTGGTAATCGGCTTAAATATTCTAACTTGAACGGCCTTGTCGGCTATTGTCTATGCAAGAATCTTTTCAAATTCTTAAAGTAATGCTATGGCATCAAATCTTACTTTTTTTTCTAAATTATTATTGATTTGACGACCCCGAGAATCAGCGGCGGGGTAAGTCGCGAGCCGTACGGCTCTGTGGGACTCCACAATACTAGTTAACCGTAATGGTCTTAACCCATAGAGAAGCGACGGCTCTAAGAGGGCATCATATGAGCACCATCTAGTTCATTCTGACCACGCACCCATTTTCCTCGCTACTTTTTAATAATCCAGTCTACTTTTGTGAGTGCAGGGGCATGCCAAAAGATTAGTATTCTTTCACAATGCGGACGTTATTCTAGCCATCTGCCTGTTACCGTCCCCGTTGTGAATTATTCGAGGGTGGTTGACAGCGATTGTTTATCTACCTATACGTTCATCACACTGTCCCAGAAGTAAGACAAAGCTACAACAGATTTGCCCTTATCGAGCCATTTGATAACAAAGACACCCGCTTTACGTCGTTAGACAGCTCATGAGTTCATTGCCATTATATTTTCACATGTTCTACATAATTTTATGTACAATCGCCTCTTTTAGCTTTCGAGTAGCCTTAATGAACCGCGACCTGACAAATAAGGACATACACAGAGTAAGGGCTGTTCTTGGACTGGTAGTGTATATATGTATGCACGTATGACGTGTGTTGAACGGTAAAGACACAAGGGAACTAGCTTGTTTTTTCCACAGTTTCGCTTGCCCGAGAGTTGCTTTTTCAATAGCAAATTACGTTTCATAAAAGCCATTACATTGAGTTATAATACATGACCACCAGGGAGGCTACATGGGCCAAGTTAGGGTGACGTTGTATGCTGTACCACATTTCGAAAATCATGTATAACTAACCATATATCCTAGAGTCATGCGTGACCGCGCCAATTGTATAGTCTTCTGTTCGGGCAAGTTAATTTTGAAGAATGGTGCTTCCCAGTCAAACCGCAATTCGCTAGTTCACTGATATGTTTTCCATAAAAACCCTGGTTCACACTGGCAACAGAAGTTTATGTGTACCTATCGTGGCTGAATTACAACCTAAGATTTGCATAATTTGATAATAAATGACTATGAAGTATCACCCCTCTTAACGATGATCACGGACCTTTAAAGAAAGATATATGATATATATATATATTTTTTTTTCAATTTTCTTGAGTGAGGGATTTCTCCGCCCGAAACCATTAGCAGCCCATATAGCCACTTTATGGGCTTAACGACATAGCTGCCTTCGATTGACATTTTCTCGCAAACAGACGAGTTGTAACGCTTCCACGTAGGCCACACAATAGCATAGTCTTTCGCAAATATAGTTCGTTTTCTTGAGCAGCATCGATCGTGTTCAATACTATCGTTGAACAAGTTTTTGCCTTTTTCATCGCAATAACTTACGCACTAGTGATGGCTACGCACGGACGAGTCATTAGTTACGTAAGGGTATGATTTATTATGGCTGCTAAGCCCTGTCAAACACTGAACATTACTAGATCAATGCTGGTTCAGGTCATGTTATATATAATTAGCGATCCTCTACCAACTCACATGAACAAGCCTATCGATTTATAACTATGTATGTACACTGTGCCTAATTTAAACTCATCTGACAACTTTATCGGCGTAATATAGAGTGTCACCTAGACTTTACTCTAGATGCCTATAGCAGCCAGGCGATGACACAACACCTGTGCAGCATGCGTATGTATGTATGTGTGACTGACTGACACTGTCGATATGAGCACCCTCTTTTACCGCTTATACAGTTCTACAACATTAAAATTTGTCTATCTCTACCACCGCCTGTTAAAGTAGCGCTTGCGACTCCACAAGCAGCATCTTTTGCAGGTTGAGCACATAGTTACAATGCAGTGGACTGCACAGACGTAAGAAGAATATCGAGTGCATGTCCAAATAGGTCGCATTGTTTTCCATTTTGAACTGTATTTATGTGTGCGTGCGCGCCTTTCTAGGAAAGTAATGAACGTGTAGACCTTTTAGGTACGTCGCTACACGTCGTGGCACTTCGTAACCGGCCATGGTGTTTTGCGGAAAGCATGCGGAAGCGACTGGACTTCGGCCGCTAGGGCGAAATTGCCCACCCAGACGTTCGCGCAGCCTTCCAGCGTCTTTTTTTCATGGCACAAAAGCACCTAACGTAGTTTTGATTTTTTGTAGTTAGATTTTGAGTCACTCTGCATCAGAGAGTTTAGGCGACGAGAAAAAGCAAAGTAACCTACGGACTACTCCGGGCAACCTACTCCTACGGGCTACATCAACACCTTACCCGTTTGATATCACTGTAGTGTTGCGTGTTTAATGTGCCTGCATTGAGATCGACAACTTCGAAGACACTTAGTGTATTTCGTAACACGTAAAACGTTGAAGATGAATCATACGACTGTTCCACTGAATCATACATGTCCAAGCTGGAGTCTGTTCAAGACTGGTCAAACTTACATGTATGTTGTATTCGATGCTAATGTTTGCGTTCAACTTACTTGAAAGATCCATCGACTTCACAAGCGAGGCCAGTCTGACCACGCTTTTTCTCGACGTTGTACTTTTCAAGATGGCAGGCACAGGTTTTAGTCCTCTTCGAAGCCTGTTTGATTATTTGACCCTCGGAATCGTAGCATAAGCAGAATCTGAAAAGTTAAAATTTTTATAAGTAATTATTATTGTTATGCGAAAAATAGTTAGCTAGTCGTTGGTAAACTTTCAGTTAGGTAGCTTCCTGCGCTAAAGGTTCACTAATTTATCACGGCCTGTTTGTGAACCTAATCCATTTACATCCACCACTTGTTGCCTTTATTCGAAGCAGAAAGAAATGTAAGTTGAAGTAGTTATTTCTAGTTTTGCGCAGCAGTAGCAGTAGTATGACAATAACACAGTTATATTGATACTTGCCGTCCACCGCCTACAGCAGGGGGAAAGCATTGGAGAGGCTTATAGGTTCCGTCGTCGTTACATTCGACCACCATGCCGACAGTTTCAATATTTGTCTGATTGGCTTTTGGGTTACTTTGGTTGCGGAGTGAGTTTTCACGCCTACGCTGACATTCGGACAAGCCTGCGCTCATGGCGCCACTGAACGCAACGAGAGCCAGCAGCTGAAATTTGGCAAACAGTTATTGCGCATATTGTTATGACTAACAACTGCCAATTGGGACCTAGACAACACAAATCCGTGTACTTTTTCTATTCTAGACATAGTTTAAAATGTCTGTACTGTAAAAAGTCTTTAACGTAGCTAACCTAGACCATGCCAGGGGCGCGACATCTGTTGAGTTCTGATAGCTCCAAATAGTTGAATTTGGTTGAGTGACCACCTTCATCGTTTTTGATCTCATCGTGTAATATTTACGATTCGACAGAAATCTACAGTAGCATTAACTAAAAAAAACAAGTAACAAAGTGGTTTGCGTTACCACGTAACGTTACAAGTACAAGAACGTAATTTACGTCGGCGTCAGTTATCGTCTCGAAGGGCTAAATCTACTGGAAATTATTTGTCAATCTGGACGTCATTCTACACAGGCTTTAATTATGACTACTGAATAGTTGGTTCTCAGCGATGCTGTGTATACATTGAATAGTTTATATACGGCAATGCAGAAAAAAGGAATCGGTCTCTAAAGATTCTGCGCTGCCAAGACATTCTCTGCAAAACATTAAAAAAAAAATCGTTACGTTGAGGTACAAATAAAATGGCATAGGTATTCACCGGTTATCGCTAACAAAGATACGGCTGAATAGAAAAAAGCAAATATAAAACTTCGGTGTTTTGCACAACAGCGCGCGAGGAGATTTCACATTTGGATATTTTTATTTATATAAAGTGAAAATACTCTAAAATTATAGTGTTCCGAACTAAGTATATTATTAGGAGACACTTTATGTCATATATCTAATGATCGAAAGCAAAAAATTATACTTAATAGCTAAGTACATAATTACCGCGTAAAAAAGAACTCACAATGAAGGTCCTCATGGTGATCAAACGTTTAGCACCAAGCACAGTACAATATGTTCGCTTGCAACTGCAAAGGTAGTTTGCTTTCCTGACACCGTATATACATTTATATATGTATATTCATACGTACATATAGATATGCATACACATATATATATATAGATAGATTATTATATATATATACATAGAAATCAGCGCACACACGGCAGCTTTCTGTCCAAGCTACAGCAGCGGCGGCTGATGAACGGCGCTGTGTAATTCCGTTAATTCTTTTTGCGCAGGGTGAAGCGACTCGCTGCTAGCGACCCCTAGTTAATTTGGCACAGTTGTATAAAAAAATTTGTCGCTTTATTAATGATGCTTGAATGTGTAAGGTTTTGTTATTAGGATAAGATCGACTGATCTACGTTTACAGCTTGTTTCATAATTTATGATTTCAGATTATCATAGTTAAGCAGGATTTTTCGAACGTAGAAATACGAGGAGAGGACCACGAAGAATATGATTTATTTTTTTTAAAGTTCTACTTGTTAAGAATAGGCCGTTTCATATTTATCGCTGGGGCTGTGTGTTTTTTCTATAGTACACAAATATGTGAGCTACTGAATAACTAATGAGAAAGAGCTTTCGTATTAAATCTTCCATACAGATGCTAGAACGTACATAATTATAGGAAGTGAATTTCCAGGACAAAGTATTCATCCTTGGTGTAAGTTTTTTCCGCTAGAAAAAAATCAAGCACATCTTGTTTGACCTAAGCTTAAAAGCATAAGCCGCTTTGTTGAGTCCGAAGCTGCAGGTCTCAATATCTTCCAATATGAAACATCGTGATTTCGGCGGACCAGAGCTTATTAGTTTTCACCGCCACGTTTGTTCAGTCGATAAAAAGGGAGAGGAAATGGCCATCCGAAGTGCGACATATCCTTCCACTCAGATTAAAATACTCTGCGATGCATAAGCATATTATATACTACGAGTCAATTTTTCAAAATAAAATATGGTTACCAACGCTGCTACATACCTGACTATGCGTCGAAGCCAAGATCAACGCCCGTCGATAAACTTGCTCTCGCATAAATCTAACCGGCTTTTTCTGCCATTGAAACAAAATTTTCCGCTCTCAGAAATGCAACGATCGCGGGCAAAGCGGACAACGTAACTCATCGTTCCGCACAAGCCTAAAAATTGATTCCCTTAACCAACCATGTAGGTCACCTCATTCTGTAAACTTAATAGTGACAAAATGTTTAATTGCAATTTTTGTACAAAAACTTAATATATACGAACTTTACAATCGCAGCTAGCTAGATAGCCTTTGAAAGAAACGGTTTATAGTATAAATGTTTGATATGATTCGAATGCATTCCGCTGCATCTTCTTATGCCACACCTAAGGATCCCTCACTACATGCAGCTTGCGCCCTTTCCGTTCCTTGTACACGGAGTGCCTGCGCCCCTGTGTGCGTGCAAGCGGTGTATGTGATTGGTCAACAGCCATCCATGAGCTGGATGATATCATGGACAGTCATGTTTTGACTGGAAAATGCGACCGTTTGCCGTTTTGACTCTCGCTTCCTGTCCCCGTCTAGCTGATCGCATTGCCGCCTGGATATCATCACTACCGATGCCTATCTGACACCATGGCACATCTTCAGCGGCACCATACGAGAAATTGCAAGAGGGCTTCCTCTGGTGTGCAACAAAAAAACACTCAAAGCGAGACCGACTGGAACGGAGGATGAACAAGCCGTCACTCGGTCCGTGTCGACATGGTGTCAGGCTCATTCAGTCGGTATATAACGTCGCTATACTATCTAGACAGCTATCGGTAAATTGCATAATGGCCTCCGGCTGGTAGGGATGGCGATAGTTAACGGTGGAAGCTATCGTTGTTTTTGTGTACTTATGGAGCGGGCAGAACTGTCTAGGTAGTACCACCGGCAGTTGCAAACGAGCATGCTTTGCTTCCGGTGCAAAGCCCGCATAGAAAAGTCACTTCCTTTTTAGCTAGCTACCGTTTATTAGGTGAAACGCAATGATAACCGCACACTACAGTCGAACCATCTACCTACTCAAAGTATTAGGCGTTCCCTGAAACACCATTCCGTTAACCACGTGCCGCTGTTTTAAGACGTTTCAAGTGGCTTATTTATCGTAAGAGTTTTTAGATAGTGATCATCGACTGATAAATGAACGGGAAATAGAACAAATCTAAGGAGTCTACCACCTTTCTGTGGTATTCGTGTGTTTGTCGCGAGCTAACAATTCACATCTGTCGTCCTTGAGTCGATGCAAATCTTCTTTCTATTGAGAACAATGAGAATGTCATTTGCGCAAATACTATAAACCACTGTAGCTATTCCATTACAAGGACTACGTTTAGTCTATTGGTGATCACAGCTTTACGCCGAAATTTAGAAAAACTTTACGACGTCATACTATTGTGCAATATAACGATTCAAGTGCGTATTCTTAGAAGAGATTGTATCAGTATTTTGTTTGTGTTGCGTTTTACCAGTGGTCCAGTAAACGAGAATACACACGACGCTTTAATGTACCAAACAACATAAATTAATAGTAGCAACATTAAGTTTTAAATAAACCAGAAAATTTAGTGGGCCTTTATCTGTTTTTTCAACCGGATTCCCAGTAATTACTAAACGCATCCAACATCCGGCTAGACTACCGTCATCTGCTACTTCTCATACACAGCGAAGTTCCAATGGGGTAATCTTTTTCTGCCAGCATCATAAACTCTTGTACGGATGATAAAAATTCGATACTTTGACAAGTGGTAACGTGTATTGCTTTATGATGTTTTTCATAGCCGTCAGTGCGGTTTAAACGTCTGGAAACATTACCACTAATATTTTCGTTTTTTCGATAAACAATTTTTGTTTATCAATGACAGAAACATAATGAAGGCGTTTGTTTATATGCCACTGGCACTGGTGAACATTGCCTTCACTTTAACCAGTTGCTTCAAAGCGTTAGGAAAAGGCGTTTTATTTATTTTCGATTTTGTATCTACTTTTTAACACAAAAAGTCGGTAAAACGTACACATCTAAAAACAGCGTTACTATAGAGCCCTGTTTTCGTCGCTTTTCTTCAATTTTACGAAAAAAAAAGCACCCACTCCATTTTGCTTCGGCGTCCAGTTTTACAGTATCTAAACGCCTGCTATACCTTGCTTGTAAGTTGTTAGTCTTTTGTTTTTTACTTATCACTTACACTTACACTTTAGGCCTACGCTAGATAGGTTTCAGTAACAAAATCTAACAGGTTGATCATGTATATCTATAAAATATAAAAGATTGTTTAATAAGGCCCCGAGTTCGATTGCCAGCAGACTGAAAGAAAGTGGAAAGGAATCAACTTCCGCTAACTGTGTCTAAAAACAGATTAAACCGCTTCAATAAGCTCATAACGTCAGTTTGATCTGCTGCTCTCTAGTTAACAATCTCGTCACATTTTAGAACTGCAAATGAAAAAAAAAAACGAAAAATCTATCATCATAATACATGACGAGTAATAGCTGTTGTTTTTTTTTTTTAATTTTCCAACACTCAAAACAACAAATGTATATAAATACGTCGGCTTTAAACGTTATCAAGCTTAGCCAGATTTTGGCATAACTGGCACCGACTCTTCGTTAGTATTGAAAATAACTTCTTTAAGCAAATAAGCCGACCAGCTCCGATTAAATGCAAAACGCCAAAAGCCCGATTGCATAAACGGACTTCCATACAATCACGATTCCACCTGAAACGTTACGACTGCGAATAAGTGAAAACCGCTTAACCGATGCTACTTCCTATGCGTACTATCGTACCGACTGGCTGAATTGCCATAGATATTACTCTAAAGTAGCGTTTTCTCTTTTCTATTTTTCTACGGAAAACTTCAGTCCAAAAGACACACTTCTTACACTACAGAGCCCTTGCACTCATTTACCGCTCGACTAAAACTTGTTCGCGTTAACGACACCTAGCAAGAGTAAAGGTACTTCTTGTGCTTGCTTGATTATCGCCACACGATATCGAGCAAAGTAACTATGTATATAAGCAGATTCTGCTTGCACCACAACGATCCTTCCACTATTTCCCCACGGGTTTACCTATTGCAGACAGGAAAGCCTCTGTCAATTTAAAAATCTGTATTTACAGACGTTCCGACGATTTCAGCGTACGGCTATAGTGTGGCCACTTTTTTTTTCGGCCGGACAACGATTACTCTGTCCCAGTTCAACGCTCCACTTGGAGGCGGAAATAGAACTACTAGGCAATCTTTTTTTTTAAACAAAAACGCAGGAAAAAATGTCGACGCAGTTCATATCGAAAAGAAAAGAAACACTAGTTTACATATGACTGTGTTTGTTTACGGGTGTCTGCCCACAAACAACGATGAGGGAAATAGTATAATAGCAATAGTTGCTCGCCCCGTACGTTAGGGGACGTGATTTACCGATCCAAATAAGCGCAAATTTTTTGTGAAAATAGGGACAGGGATGAAATGATCGTGACTTGAATATGGCAGCCGCATTCTACTTCTCGACTACCTTATATTAGGTACATATGGGTGACAGTTCTGCGCACATTTGAAATAAGATAAACTGTATACAGGAGAGTAATTGTTGTTCGGCAATAATTTCCTTATTTCTGTTACTCTCGATTTTTCTACACAAACAAATTACATTATTATTACAAGCAAACACAGTACGTTGTTGTGGCTAACAGTTGAATTGGTGTAATCAAGGGGCAGCTTCAATGTACAGGTTAATTACTTCAGCTCACTAGAACTTTTATTCTCAATCGGATTTCCTGTTCCGCTTTTTCGGGCAGAAACATCGTTTATTTAGGATGTTGTACTAAGGAGATGCGTTAGTTTCTTTTCACAAATTATTCTGTGGTTACGTCACACATAATGCCGCAACACTGTTTTAATACAAGCCCGTCTAGCACAAACGTTGTTTAGAATATACTTCAACTTGCTTCCAATGGTTGTTATTATAATTATCGTTATAATTACTTTTTAACCTGATTTGGCAAAGCTTCAAAGATATAATCAAACATTTTTTTTACTATAACCGACTTGATCGTTGCTGCTGCCTTAAATTTCCAAATTTTTGTCCTAA